TGAGCTGCAAAAACTCTTCTGCGTGATCAGACAAGACAGTATAGCCTTTGCTCCCCACGTGCATCAACCTGCCTTGACTCTGATGCTGGTTGTCCTTCCTTGCACCACTTTTGGTAGGTACTAACCTCTGCATACTGGGAACAATCCACAAGACTTGTCATTTTGGAGATGCTCAGGCCAAGTTGCCTAGCCATCGCTTTTTGGCCCTTGTCAGTCACTCAGATCTTTTCGCTTGCTCATTTTTTTTTTTTTTGCTTTTAAAACATGAAATCTAACTGCTCACTTGCTGCTCAATTTATGCTACCCCTTAATAGGTGCCAATGTAACGATATGATCAATGGTATTCACTTCACTTGTCGGTGGTTTTAATGTTGTGATCAGTGTAGACAGTGTCGTAAGTGCATGAAAGAGCATTCATGGTATGCATACAAGAGTTCCTCTAGTTTCCCCCGAGCTATTTGTAGGTTCAGAAATGAAGATGTTGAACCTGTGTATTTATGGTGTCATTATAGAGTTACAATTTCAGTATATAAAGATGAAATATAGTCTGTTCTCAATTTTTTATTTCAGGAGCATAGTATAATATAATGTAATCAGGTGACCATTTTATCAACGTCCCAGACCATCACTGGGGAGTCATTACAAAGGTAGATGTCCAAAGACTTTAGCAACTGGAAGTCCCTGTATTGTAGGAAGAAATAATCAAAGAGGTTATAAGAGTAATATGTGTAATCATGGCCAGTGGGGTGTAGTGCTCTCAATCTACAAGGTGATATTTGTGTAAAAGAGCACACACCATAGCATGCATGATTGTGGACATGGATGGTTAGTGACTTGACAGATCCTAGGAGGAGTGGAGGGGAACATTTAAAAACAAAATCGATGTGCCCTCAGCAAATGTAAAAATAAGTTAAAGCACCTGGCAAAGGAAGAGGAATTGGTAAATGTTAGGAGCATAAATGTTAGCTAATTTTTACATCATGTCACCAATTTGACCGTTAATAAAATATATCTACATTTATTGTCTCCCAGGGTGGTGCACTCTTTATATTGAAGCATTCTTAAAAACAGTATTCCCATGCCCTTTGATTTCACTAAAGAATTATTGCTAGAGAGGTCCAATGGGTAGCACTGATCCCGCATTGTAGGCAATTCATCTCTTTAATAGAGATGAAGGTTATATCCACTGGGACAACTGTGTAGCGACAGTAACTGCACCGACCGCCCTGACCTTAAAAAAAGGTTTAGAACAAAAGTAGGGATAGTGAAAAAAATAAGAAAACTAAGGAAAACAGAGAGGAGGCTCCATCCATATCCCCACCCCAGTAGTGTGCACTACCAGTCTGTGCCATAAGGGTTCAGAAAAATTATGCCCTTGCTTGAACAGAATGGTAAGGCACAACTAACACAAGGAAATTAAATATGGCAGGACACCCTGTGGTGAACCACCAGAATTTGCCCATTTGGAGCAAATTGATCAAGTGCAATATGGCAAATTTGTGAAAGCAAAGCAAACCTAAAGGGAGATTCAAGTAATTAGTAAATATTAAAATACAAGAGAAGTTAATTGCGGCTACATATAGCCAACATTGCTGTTAATAGTGTATAACTATAAATCACGTACCAAATTTTTTAATCCGCAAAACCATTGCAAACAAAGTAGTAACATATTAAGGTTCCACTCATCTTTGTTGATGGAAGCCCACCCCATAGAAGAAAAAAAGAGAACCCCTTTATACTTGTCCACCCCAACTCCCACTCTGGGAGAGAACCTCAACCTCCTCATCCCCTCCCTAATATATTAAATTATCAATTCTAAATTAAATAGGAAGCAAGTTTACACACCCTTGCACAAACAGTTTAAATATATAAATGTATAGCAAAATAAATACCACAAACCACCTGCCGTCCTCCTCCCTCTCCCATCACCTATCACACAATAATCTACTATACCCTGAGCACACAGTAGTAGCCAGGAGCCAGAAGAAAAAAGTAACAAGAACAGTGGGAGCAGAGGACAGCTGGGGAGAGCAGAGAAGGATGAGGGAAGCAAGAATAAGGAGTGAAAAGTTAGACACAGGAGAGGAATGACAAATATATATAGGTGATCCCTGTGGTGCATCCCAAGATTGAGTAAAAAAAAATATAATGATAATGAGTACCTAATTTAACGTACACACTGAAGAGCTATAACCGGTATATAGAGTCCCAGTAGGCCAATGTCCCAGGAACTATTTCTCCTTTCTGTACCATTTTTTTTCTCCACTTATTGTTTGTTTCTCTATTAAAAGACCACTCTAGGCAGCCAGACCACTTCAGCTTAATGAAGTAGTCTGGGTGCCAGGACCAGCTAGGATTAACCCATTTTTTCATAAACATAGCAGTTTCAGTGAAACTGCTATGTTTATCAATGGGTTAAGCCTTCCCCTATTTCCTCTAGCGGCTGTCTCATTGACAGCCGCTAGAGGCGCTTGCGTGCTTCTCACTGTGATTTTCACAGTGAGAGCACGCCAGCGTCCATAGGAAAGCATTGATAATGCACATTCAGCCGACGGGGAGGAGAAGAGGAGGATCGGAGGAGGAGAGCTCTCCGCCCAGCGCTGGAAAAAGGTAAGTTTTTACCCCTTTCCCCCTTCCAGAGCCGGGCGGGAGGGGGACCCTGAGGGTGGGGGCACCCTCAGGGCACTATAGTGCCAGGAAAACGAGTATGTTTTCCTGGCACTATAGTGGTCCTTTAAATAGTAAAAATCAGAACTATAAAGATAAAAAAAATGGAATTTATTCCCGAGGGTGACAGATAACATGGACACCAGAGAAGTATAACTTTTCTAGTGCTGAGGGAGAATGGTTTTGTCCATGAGGCACTCTTTGCTGCTGTGGCAACAGCTGTAGTGTAGAAACTGTGGAACAAGTCAATCTTGAACTGACATGGAAGAGAGATCAATGGCCCTCATTAACAGGGAATTTGATCATCCACTTCAGGTTTCCATTTTGGGCAGCTAGTTGCAGTGGGAAGCCCCAATGATGCAGAATGTTGGCTGCTGGCAGAGCATTTGTGATAGGCTTCAGGGCCTTCCTGGACTTTACTGTATAACAGGATAAGTCTGTGTATAGTAGGACTTCATGACCACGGAAGTGGATGAAAGGCTCTATGTCTGCTACATAAAGCATCCTTTCCTTGAGGTTAAAGTTCTCCAAACAATATATAATGTCCCTGAGCCTTGAGGCCTCATAATGGTCACTGCCAAAGACCTCAATGAGACCTTACTAAGCCTCTGCCTGTGGATATGTCCTTGCCACAAATTTGATTAAAAAGGTCCCTAAGTTATTAGGGGATTCTCTCCTGGCTTTCAGCCTCTGGTATACCTCGTACTCTGAGGTTGGCGCTTCTACCCGTATTGTTCATGTGGTCATTCAAGGTGGTTAAATGTGCACGAAATAGTTCACTTAAGGTGGTAGCTTCGTGCTCTCCGTGCACAATGGCAGATGTGGTCTGTACCTCCGTCTCAGCCCTATAAACTCTAGAGTCCAGTGTGTACCTGGCAATCTCAGTGCGAGTGGGACAGGAGATATAATCCCTTAGCCATGACATGTCTTCTTTCTTGGACTGGTAAAGGATGATTGTGTCCCAATCTGCAGTAGCTGCAAACTCTCCAGCCGGAAACTTAGGTGGAGAGCATTCCTCATGATTACATGAGGTGCCACTTAGTCTTGACTCCATATCGGCTGGAACATTAGTGCCTGAGTGGTCGTTAAATATTACTGGACCAAGGTTGTAGATCAGGTCAGTGAAAAGGCCCTGCAGACTGTCTGAGCAATCTGAAAACAGTGATTGGTGCCCATTATAGCAATGTGATGGGTGGTAAACTGTTTTATACATAGGTTCTGCAAGAGCTATGTGTTAAAGCAGCCATTTTCATCCCTGGCTAGACACGACTTCTCCTCACTGCACATGTGCCATCTTCTTGCATGTTTCTTCTTTCGCAAATACCTATTTTTCCTATTCACCATTTGCAGAGCTTCAAACAACCAAAATGTAAAAAACAAACATAAATGAAGTGCTATAATCCAGTTTAAAATTTAAATAAGACCACAAAACTACAATGATTTGTATCTTCAGGACTGTATGTCTAGTAGAATTACATGTATTAGCAATGCGCCATAGTTGCTAAAAAGCTCTTCCAGGGACCATCTGACATTTTTCAGACTTGTCCTAGCAAAAAAATAGTCCCTGAAGCTGTCCATGTTTCAGAAATCTGCCCTGGAGTTACAGGTAGCAGTTGGTATTATTAAATAATACCAATTGCAAACTTAACTTCTTGGCTGATTTTGGCATCATATACTCACTTTATTGGATGCCCACGGCCTATTCATAAGGATATGTAGTCACATGAGGTCATGTCAGTGATGCAACTATTCTGGCTGCAAGCACAACAAAGTTGGCAAGTGTTATGTACTACTGCCCTTACTGTTACCCTCTAATATAATGAAGTTTTAAATGTAAAACACAGAGTATACCACAGAGTGTTTTTAAAAATATGAAATATAAGTGTTATATTTATAGCTGTGCTGTGCAGTGTATAAAAACATACCTCAGAAATACCATATACAGGTGGTCCTCATTTTACGTCCTACCTGTTTTACGTAGGTCGTAAAATGAGGACCACCTGTAGATTAGAGGGATTCTCTGCTCTTGTGCATTCGTCTATGTTCGGGAAAATTTCCCCGAACATAGACAAGTGCACCAGAGCAGGGAATCCCTTTTTCTTCTCACTTACCGACCAATTCGTTCTACGACCGGGTCGTAGGAACGGAACCCGGTTGGTAAGTGAGGAGTACCTGTACATCGCGCCCAATATCCAGGTCCTGCAGCCTAAAGAAAAAGTACTGTCTCCGCTAAAAAAAAATTTGGGTTGCAATTTAGTGGTCAACCAGTATAAATATATCAACAAACATTCAAGGTACACTCCAGGCTCAATAACAACTTCAAATTAAGTTGCTATGGTGTGAGTAGATAATAGGTGCTTGCTTACCACGAATGGTTAAACATTTAATGAACAGTTTAACCACAAAGTACAAACAAATTAAGCAAATGCCATGGGAACCATTAGGACCAATAAGCACATTTATTTGGTGATTATTCCCCTTTCCATCACTTTTCAGAAAATATTTTTTATAAATCTTCCCTAATGTATCCTAAACAGAACTACTTTTCTTTTGCCCCTTCAAGCACTAACTTCTGTTAACCATTCTACCTTCAAGTCCCGATGCCCAAGTCATTGAACATAACCCAAAAGGTTGTCTCGTCATTTTTTCTCTGTACTAATAATCACTCCACACTCAGTCAATCTCCAAATATTGCTATTTTGGTTTTAAAAATATATCCTGCACTTATCTTTATTAATTCAAGTTGTCTCCAATGTGCTTGTAAATTCACTCATCATCTTCTGTCTTCTAGACTTGATTTGGTTTTCAAAGGCCTAGATTACCCACTCGTGAATGTTTTCTATACTAATTACGATCATTACAGCCTTATACTGGCCTCCTATATCTTTTGGGATTCTATTTAAAATCCTAACTTTCATCTTCATAGCTTTTCACAAATGGATGCCAAACTTCGTGTTATTGCAAATCAGCAAATGCAACTTTGGACAACAGTCTTCCAAAGACCTGTTTTCTTTACACACCTACCCAGAGCACTAACCTTCATAACTTGTCTAGGACTGCCTCATGTGGTCCATGGTGTGTCAACTTACATAAAGTTATCTTGTGGTGTATGACATTAAAACAGTCCATCAATCACAGAGCACATGTCCCTCTTTGTCGGTACAGCTGGGGCAAAGTAACACATGAGCATATGGTAAAATACTTGCGCACAGTAGTAGAGGTACCTAGAGATGTTATTATACCAGCAAACTATCTTCCTTTCAACAAGTTGGGCTTTCGCCTTTTGTAGTCCACTCCTTTTAACTTCAGATCCCTAATTTTATGTATGTATTTATTTTATTAAATCAGAAATATATGGTGCAACAAAAACAATATTTGGATTTATGCAATACCTTTTCAGATTCTAACATTTATTCTCAGGTAAGAATAACAAAGTTCCATTTTATCTTTTATTTACTATTTTACACTTTTTAATCAGCAGGTCGCTTTGTCACATTACTTTAACCTTAAACACTCAAAATATAATCTATTCCATTATAAATGTAATACATTTTTGGAGAATCATAATTTATTTTTTCTTGCTCTCCCCTCTTTGCTTGCCTTCGATATCAACCAACAGGAGCACTGGTCGTATAACCTTGCAATCGGCAGAGATCATTTAACAAAATGAGTGTTTCTAAAATAACCTGTAGGAAAATAAAAGACATTAATTCAGGAACCATCAAAGCTCAGTGGAGCATGTATTATTATAAGATGCTTGGAAATATAAACAGTTTGTAGAGAAGATTAAGTGACTGTTTGGATCTGTGCACGACACATCCAGTCCACGATCTTAGCCAAAGATTTATTATGGCACTATCATGTCAAAGCTATCTCATTTATATGATAACACATCTGTAATGTCTTACAATTGCCGCACTTCTTGTTAAAGGCAAGTGTTTGTTCGGTTTTAGATTACAGTACCTGGTGCGGTATGCATAATTACAGTGTACGTTTGCAAATGATAGGATGCGCTTACCCCTGGGGCTTCCAGCATTAATCACCGGCACAGTAGATGCAATAAAATCATAATTGCTTCTTAAAAAAGTTATAATCTAACTTGTCCAACTTTCAGACAGCGTGATGTCTGCCCGCGCGAGATGCCTCAGACTACCTTGGGGAAAGCCGAATACATGACCCCATGAACTTTCTGAGATTTTAATTTAATGTTGTCACTCGCTAAAATACATTAAGCTTTGCCATCCTTTTAATACTAACTGATTATAAGATTTGGAAAAGTAACAAAAAAATTATTCTAGAGTGCATTATTATCGGCATATAACTATATTGCAAACGTATATGGCGAACGTATACTCACTTAAAGGGACATAATGATCAAGGTAACATTTTATTTGATAGATATAATAGTCCAGACATCTATGTCATTTAAACTTAAAAAAGAAAAGTATTTAAAAAATATATTAAAAAGATACAAATTAAACATTGCTTCGATCTATTCAAGCTGCAATATCCGTAACTTTATTCAGCACTTGAATGTATGCCCATTTGTTGAAGTGAAGGTGGACAATTTAAAATTATATCGTAATTTTTAAATACTTGGAAATAGATTTTCAAGTGATCTATATATCAATTAATGCAAACGAAACCACAAAACTCAACTGAATTAAAGGTGATAGATGCAAACAGCAGCATCTGTCTTAGATTGATATATTACTAATTTTACCACATGACAGGAGGCTTCGTATTTTGCATATCTCTCTTTACTAACTCCATACAGCAGTAAAGAAACACATAGAAAAAAGAACCAATCACAGGAGAGCAGGATGTAAATAAGGCAACGTGACCTCATCATTTCCTCTTTCTTTGCTGCTCCATCAAGCAGACAGGTCAGAGTATTACTCTTCTCCATTACTTTATGTTTACAGTGCCTCTTTGAGGTTGTTTCTGTATTATATTTTTTTTATATACTTTGCTGTATGTTCTTGCTGTGCTTCTGTACTATGTGCAGCTGTGTTTTTTCTATGTTATTTCATAGATATTATGTAGATTTAACATAATCCTTATTTCATAACCTTTAGTTGTGATTAATATCACTTGTAATTTATCAGTTTTATAGGCATTTCATCCTTTGTTTTGATAAGTATTATATGTACTTTATATGTATTTAATAGATGTCATATTTATTTTATAACATGGATTTAATAGGTGTTAGGTGTAAATTTTATTATTGACTTAATAGGTTTTATGTATAGTTATGGTAGATGTACTTTATACCATATGTATCATGACTTTTCTGGTGATTTTCCTGGCCTTCTATACCTGGGGCATCTGGGGACCATCTTTCCCCGCTTCCCTCCTTCCCCCAGCATCTCATGGGGATTCTGGGTCTGGCTGGGGCTCAACCCTTTCCCTCCCGCGGTTCCCATCGGCTCCCACCGGCTCCCGGGCATTAACCCCTTCTTCCAGCCTATCCGTTCGACCCCTTCCTCCTACAACCTTCAGGGGGACGGCCAGACTCACTGCCCTCGCTCTCTCAGGCTGCCCATACCGTACACCTGGTAATGTGCTGGATGCTTTCCAACATCCACTACCTTGGTGCAGTGCAGTCTGTGGGGCAACCACGAGGTAGCCCGAGCATGGCGCGGCGGCCATCTTTGATCCCGCGTCTACCGAGACTCCAGGGACCATGTTCCCCCTCCTTTACCCTCATCGGCTATCTTTAATCTCGTGTCTCGCGAGATTATGGGCGGCCATTTTGCTACTCTCGCCCACCACGATTTCGGCGCTCGAGAGTAACATATACCTGGGCTGTCAGCTAGCCTAGCTGCTCTCGTGGCTCACGATTCTCTGACACGGACGTTGGACTTAAAGAAACCATTCTTGGACCCTTAGAGGGAACTCCTTACAGGGATACCACCACGGTACTACTTAAAAGGATACCACTCTGGAACTACCAAATCCTTAAAGGGATATCACCCTTGAATTCCTTAAAGGGATAGCACCCTTGGACACAGACTATCAAGATGGTACTGTATAAGTATATATCAGTAATGTGAGATTTGAAGGGATATCACCTGGTGCAGGAATCTACAGCAAGACTCTATGTCTGGTAATGGATGCTCAAAGGGATTACCCCTATCACTTAAGACAACCTGTCAGAACACGACGGAGCTTAGAGCTAGTGCTATATCCTATTATCCCTCAGAGGTCAGTCACTTTTGTCTCATTTCTGCCATATTAGGCACTAAAGGTGCCTGCCTGGGGTGCTGCCCCTATTACCGTGCTGCTTTTTGCAGGTTGCCCTGTGGCCACCTCTATGATCCTGGGTGAGGCCCAGTTATACAAATCCCAATATTGTGGTTTGCCCTGCTGGTTCAATTTGACAACACTAAGTGACAGATACAGAATACCCTGCCGAGGTTATTACACCTTACTGTCATTTATACAGACCCTGCTGGGGTCCACTGGCATTATTTACACTACAACAGATACCCTGCTGGGGTACCCCATATCACACACCCTACTGGGGTTGTTTTGGTACTTTGAGACAATAAATTGCACCCAATAAGTGCACACTACTGCATATCACACACCCTGCTGGGGTTGTTTGGATACTTTGAGACAATAAATTGCACACAATAAATTGCGCACTACTACACCCTGCTGGGGTCTGCATGGTGCATTGCACACAATGAAACGGATTGTGCTCTCACCCAGTCTGTTTTATTTGGCCGCTACCCACGCTTGACGGATACATACCCCGCACACCTGAGGTGATCTCTGACTAGGTATAAGCCAATTTATTCGGCAAAAAAGGGGACAGAGTCGCAAGCTTCATCGCAGAATATCCCCCATGGCGGTGCATTAATTATTGATAGAGCTGTAGGACACTCTCTATCAGGATGATGGCCAGCACTGATGGGTTCATACCCTGTGCAACCGGGGTGAGCCCCCTACAGCACTGCTGCTTCTTCTCCTACCCCTCTCAACAGCGAGGTCAAGGACTGAAAATCCGAACTTTGGATCTGGGACCGGCACTTACAGGTTCAGACCCGGTGCTCTTGGGGTGAGACCCCTACGATAGGCGAGTCACACTACCCGACCGAAAGGAAGTCTTACAGCAACAGCCTCTACCTACAGCTGAAGGAATACCTCCATTTATAATGAATCATGATATGGTACGGTTTTATGCCCTGTACCTATTCTGCGGCCTGCAGTTAAAGGCCCACGCCCTATGCACCGGGCCCAGCTAGGCGTGCACTGCACTAAAATGACGAACAGAGGCATGCGGTTACAACCGCTGAACAGGGCTTCCGAGCCACCTACTTAGCGATATATATTCCCCTTGAGGTGAATTTAATAATGGAAGAGGTGACTGACACTCTCTATCAGGGCGATGGCCAGCACTTAAGGGTTCATACCCTGTGCACACGGGGTGAGCCCCCGGGACTCCGCCAAACATCGTCTGGGAATGGGCATACAACTTGAGTATATGGACTCAAAAAACTGTTTCTGCTCCTCGCAGGAAACCCCAGTGTTGGCCTCTCCCATAGGATGCCCATAGCAGCACTCCTCCGCACTGATGGATGGTTGGTGGTACTGGGCGCCAAGATAGTCGGAACCCCAGGCACAAGGCACAATGTTCCAAAGGGAACTTATTAGACACGCAAGGGTCCCACGGCTTTCATAAGGGCCCAAACCCCTAGGAGGGAGGTGTTATGCGATTACCTTTACAAGGGATTCTTGGGAACTGGTTGGCAACAAACCCGGTCGTCGACCACTTCGGGACATCTGACCCATATAGAGCGAGAGTCAACCAATGGTGCTCCAGATAAGCGGACAGAGAACACGGTACGCACAGATACCATCAATATACCTCCTACTACATCCACAGGGGATTTCACCACATCTATGTGAAAGGCACTCAATCCTGGGGAAGACCACTTTCATGTAGTCAACCGACTTGCGTTCAGGACCTAAAAACACGTCAGGACGGTCTTCTTGCTTCCCGCTCGACCACCTTACAAAGTTTTCAGGGGACATCCTCTCCTTCCCGATCCAGTAGCTCGGAGCCTGGTAGGCCCTGATAAACTACCGAAAGAAGTAATGAATACAGGTGGGGAAGACGAGACACTCTCTTCCCGGAGAACCTCATTCAGATCACTCCAGGGAACTGAAAACTCGTCAACACCCACGTTAATATTCGTACGACTCTCCATGGCACCACCGCGACCCTGTACATTGTATACCTAGACTTCTTGGTCCTATACTTCACAAAACATTGATTGATAAAGATGTACCAAATCGGTTGCACCCTACTGCAGGTAACTACAGAGAAGACGGTCAGGTTTCACATCCACTGGGATGGACCAACTCACGTTTATCAGACAACATGTAGGCTCTTTCGATACCCGTCTTCTTCACAGAAGATCAACCCGTCTCCCGGGTGAGACACATCTCATAGGGGCCGACTGATTTGGATATTACCACTCGTCACAGTTTAAGTCAAGGCACGATGGTGATCGCGCTCCGTCCGACTGGACCTCCCCGGAGGACTTATGCTTCTCATGCTTACAAGGTCTACAGTAATTCTCGAGCAGGCGAGGATCTTCTCCTGCTACATTCATGACAAACAACTCCTTACGGAGCCGTAGGGTACTCACATCTTCTATCCCAGGAGGGTCGGCTACCTGGGGACCTTGACCCGCAGGCTGCCAGGGACCTCTTGGGAGTCTGGGAACCCAGGGATGCAACGACCCTACCCCTACATCTGGACATTCCCAGTCTGTCTGGTTCGGTCCTGCATCTTGATCCCTTATGTGAGGATGGAGACGGAACTGCAGCCCGTATTACTACCTGAGGATGCCCAAGGGACTAGGATCCTGTAGGATACCAACTACCCAATGTCATACCTCTCCAGCTTATGAGTTGTGGAGGTCGTTCTCCTTTCACTCTACGGGACTAAACATCCTGCTGACAAACGGTCAGACTTGGTCTTGTATAATTTCCTGTTCGATGGTGTATACGTTGGCACTCAACGGGGAAGACCTACCCACAACGCCGAATACTGGGTCTCTCGGCACACTGTAGGACTCTTATTTAGTTCTATACTCTTTTCTCAGCGTTAAAAATGCAAAATACGAAGCCTCCTGTCATGTGGTAAAATTGAAGATTATGCTAGCTTTAGTGTACTAATAATCTTAATTTTAATAATGACAGGAGGCGAGTATTTTCCCCCCCGCTTCGCTGCCCACCCTTTCTATTTGTTTGCTTTGCAGATATCAGGGGCTACGGTAGGTTTGCCTCTCACATTGATGCTTATATGATATGTTCGTACCTCCATTAATATGGAATCCTCATTAGAGTTCTCATTACAATTACTCAGTTATCAGATTATAGTTACTATATTCTCCAATGGGATGTTAGGTGGTACGTTAATTGGAGTTACATGTTCGTGACTGTCTAAACCTGTCACACAATCTCTTTTCAGTATGATTCGTCTCTGAAGATAACTGGCAGTTCATGTGAAACTATTGGAGATTTTATCCTTCGCATTTGTCTCAACCCTGAACTCTTTTTCGTTGTTCGTATAGAATTCTTTGGAAGTTTGCTCCTTTGCACATGGAAACTTGGAGTTATTATTAGTTTTATTGTTTGCTATATATTTACTTCTGCTTGTTGTCGCTTTCTGAAAGAGGAAATGATAAGGTCACATTGCCTTATGTACATCCTGCTCTCCTGTGATTGGTTCTTTTTTCTATGTGTTTCTTTACTGCTGTATGGAGTTAGTAAAGAGAGATATGCAAAATACTTGCCTCCTGTCATTATTAAGATTAAGATTATTAGTACAATAAAGCTAGCATAATCTTCAATCTTTGTCAGATCAGGTGTCATCCTGAATGCATGATGGCTTCATGAGACCTTTCCAGCCAAGAAAGCATGCAAATAAGAAAGGCATTGCAGACGTGTCCTTGCTTAGACATATATGGCATATATGGCACAGCTACTATTGTGTTCTGCATCTTAGAATCAGGACTGTAACGCAGAATCCGTGACTCTTGGGAGGTATGTGAAAGTATTTCTCACCAATTTAGGATTAGTGGTATATGGCACTGTTTTGCTTTATCCTTAGTACCTCATTACAGCTGTCTAGGGAATCTATATTTTTGCATTATTAGACTTTAAAATATGTCCTGTGAACATATTTTCCTCCGATCATGATGACATGTAATTACTGTTTTGAAAGTGAGATATAGTGGATGAAGTCATTTAGTTCACAGGAGCGGTGAATTGTTGAAAATGCCTGTCCATAGCACTTGATACACTGCGGCCCCATATCTCAAATAATTTTATCCGTTCCTTTCTCATACCGTGTTATTAAACTTACTTACGTTTACCGCAGCCCTGAGAACTGCAGAGACCTAAACGCCTGCTCCGTAATATCCAGTCTGCGTTGAGTACTTTAAATTGATACTCTGCTTAAGCGGTATGTTGACAACTATAAAATAAGTAATAAAAGTTCCTCACTACTTTGTTTTACTTTGGTTTTGCTGCACTGTCAACCTAAACAATAACACATGGATATAAGTAGGTTTTCTATCTATACAGCTTTCCACTCCTGCGTTTTTTGGCAACGTTGAGTCCATTTCCAC